AAGCAGCTAAAGCAATCAGGGAGGTGTTGCAGCACCATAGGGGCACCTTCGCCTATAACCTGCAGGAATTGGGGAGATACAAGGGGAGAGAGCTGGGGCTGAACCTCACGACCGAGCTACCTACATACCAATGCAGGAGGCGAATGAATGCGGAGGATGCAGCCATCTGCAAAGAGAAATGTGAGGAGTTGCTAGCTGCAGGGATTATTCGCCCGTCAGAATCAAGCTACGCGGCGGCCACGGTGGTAGCTGCTAGGAAGGACATCACGGGAAAGATTCTAGCGAAGCGGATGTGCGGGGATTTCCGGGAGCTGAACAAGATTACAAGCCCTGACAGATACCCTATGCCGACTACTGAAGATATTTTCGACTGGCTGGAAGGGGCCACCGTCTTTACCACCTTGGACCTGCGGCAGGGCTTCAATCAGATAGGCATTAGAGAATCAGATAAACGGAAAACTGCATTTCACGGGGTGGACGGGTTGTATGAGTACAACGTTATGCCTTTCGGGCTTCGTAACGCACCAGCAGTGTTTCAGAGAGCCATGGATCAAGTGCTGAAGGGGATTCCAGCTGCAGCCTGTTACATTGATGACGTGTTGATTTACAGCAGCAGCGAAGAACAGCATGTGCAAGATCTGAAGCAGACTCTAGAGGCAATAGCAGCTGCGGGGCTGACGTGTCACCCAGATAAGTGTAAGATGGCGAGGCACACGGTGGCCTACTTGGGGTTTGAAGTGAAGGGCGGTCGGCTGGCCATACAAGAGGCGAAGGTTAAGATGCTGGAGAACCTGGCAGCGCCAAAGGACAAGACAGGGCTGCGGGCGTTACTCGGCTTCCTGAATTATTACAGGAAGTTTGTATCAAACTTCAGTCGCCGCGCCTACATGCTGAACCAGCTGCTGAGGGAAGGGAAGAGCTGGCAATGGGGAGAGGTGGAGGAGGCAGCAAGGCAGGACTTGCTTGAAGCAGTTAGGACAGGGACCTTACTGCAGATACCGAGGGCAAAAGCGCCTTTCATCCTGTACACGGACTGGAGCAGTACGGGAATGGGAACGGTGCTCTGCCAAGAAATCGAGGGAGAGGAAAGAGTGATAGCCTTTCCTAGCCACAGCTGCAGCCCATCCGAGGCTAACTACTGCTCATACGAGGGAGAGGGTCTGACGGCAGTGTGGGGAATCACGTATTTCAAGCTATACCTGCAAGGCCGGCACTTCACATTAGTGACTGATCATCAGCCACTGCTATGGTTGATGACTAATCAAGAGCTGACGGGAAGAAACGCTCGATGGGCTATCAAGTTGCTGGGATTCGACTTTGAGATCCGGCACCGACCGGGTAAAACACTGCAGCATGCAGATGGGCTGTCAAGGAACCCACCACCGATGCAGCCGGTAGCGCAGCTGGCGGCCTTAGCCCACGCCGTGGCCGTGACCTGGGGGCAGGAGAAGGGAGAGAAGCGGTTAGCAGATATATGGGAGGACGAGGAGACCATGAGCTGGATCGAAGGGGAGCCACTGGAGGAGGAAGGCGTAAGTGAGAGAGCAAGAGCCAGAGGGCAGCATTATAGATGGTTTCAGGAGCAGCTGCAGCTGAGGACCAGCGAAGGATGGAGGGTAGTGCCGCAGCCGCAAGAGAGGAACAGGATCATAGGGAAGGTGCATGCGAATCTAGGACATTACGGCATCACCAGGACACGGCAGCTGTTGAGCACCATGTACTGGTGGGCAAGCATGGGGAAGGATGTGGCAGGACTGGTAGCCAGCTGCGAGGCTTGTCAAAGGAATAAAGCAAGGCTGGAAAAGGAGAGGGAGGAGCTGAACTCACTACCGATTCGGGGGTTAGGTTACAGGTGGTCGCTGGACCTGGCAGGAGAGTTACCATTATCAAAAGGAGGGAAGCAGTACATTCTGATCATGGTTGAGCACACGAGCAAATGGGTGGAGGCGCGGGCATTACCAAGCAAGAGTAGCGCACTGATAGCGGACGCATTCGAGGAGTTAGTACTGACCAGGTACGGGGCATGTGGAGAGGTGCTTACTGATCAAGGGACAGAGTTTCAAGGGAGCTTTGATGAGCTGCTAGAAGAGATGGGCATCACGCATCGTGTCACCTCAAGGTATCACCCTCAATCGGACGGGCTGACAGAGAGGCTCATACAAACCGTGAAGAAAGGACTTCGGGCCTATGGAGAGACACACAAGAGGAGTTGGGACAGGGATCTCTGGTGGGTGCTTGCAGGATACCAGTTTGCGAAGCAGGCAGCGCTGAAGCATCTGTCCCCGTATCATCTACTGTACGGACGGGACACGGTGCTACCTGTGGATGCACCGAAGCTGCTCTCGGCGACAATTGAAGCGGACGAGCCGAGCCTGTGGGCGGGATTAGCGGAGAAGAGGGCGAGGTATCTGAAAGAGCTGACTCCAGCTGCCTTGGATAATCTACACGTGGCGCAGCTGAGGGATGCAAGGCGGTACCAGCAGCGCAAAGCAGAAGGGATGGGAGGAAAGAGTGACAAAGTGGAAGCGGGGCAGGAGGTGTATCTGCGCAGGGCTAAGCGAGATACGCTGGACTTAGCTGTGGGACGGGAGCGATGGAGGGTGAAAGAGGTAAGGGATTCGGGGGTGCTAGTACTGGAGGATGATCAAGGGAAGTACCTGAAGGAGCATATCACCAACGTGGCCAGGGCGGGAAGGGAGAAGCCTCAGGCATTGGATCCCGTATCTGGAGCAGCTCGGGTGCGTGCTCAGTCACGGGAGGGGGCAGGGAAGCCTGAGATACGAGGAGGGGATCAGAACAGAGTGATTACATACGTCAGGAGGAAGAAGGGATGAGCCGGTCACCTGGATGAGAGGCGGAGGGAGAGGGAGGAGGAAGTCAGGCTGGGATTCAAGGGAGAGTGAGAAGGAAGGGACAGCAGAGGGGGATTCACGACAGCTGTCGCGTTATTAACACTTAGCTGGCAACTAAGTGTGAATTCCACAGCAGGCAAGGTGAGTTGTACTATAGTTTACTGCTTTTTGCATTTTACTTTGTTTGCTCTTTTTGGAATGTTACTGTACTATACAGAGTCGAGCTACTGAGGAGTTCGAGGGGGTTGGTGAGGAGGATGAGGGCGAATTCGATTCTAGCCAGCCTGGAAATTCAATTCGACATTCACAGGCTGGAAGGCGGTGCATGCCTAGTGGGCCCAGTGGGACCCAGCTAGCACCTTGAAGCATACGCGATCAGCTCGGCTGACTCGCGCTTAGGAGTAGAGGTAGCTTGCGGGACAAGGCACCTAGGCAGGAGAGGATGTAGTCGGAAGTAGCGCTCGGACTCATTGCTTTTTGATTGTATGTTTCTCATTTACTGCAATTGTGATTTCCTAATCCACGGGGAACTAGCAGTAGAGAGGAGCTGAAGCAAATCGGCGGAGCCCTTGCGAGGGAGTTAAGTCTTGTTTCATGGGAAGCCTGAGATACGAGGAGGGGATCAGAACAGAGTGATTACATACGTCAGGAGGAAGAAGGGATGAGCCGGTTACCTGGATGAGAGGCGGAGGGAGAGGGAGGAGGAATTCAGGCAGGGATTCAAGGGAGAGTGAGAAGGAAGGGACAGCAGAGGGGGATTCACGACACACTGCACCCCTCATTCTCCCACTGCACCACTCATTCTCCCACTACACCCCTCATTCTCCCACTACACCTCTCATTCTCCCACTGCACCTGTAATTCTCTACGCCTTCGAAGCCCAAGTGGGTGCCGGAAAACAGGTGCAATCCCTGCAGGATGAATCCTAGCATGGTGTAACCGCATATGGTTACCACCTGGAGTGGGAAGGGTTAACAACACAATACGGGAGGCATCGGCACACAAATAGGGCCACAAGCATGCAGACAGATGCAATCCCCACAGGATGAATCTCAGCACGGTGTAACCGCATACGGTTACCACCTGGAGTGGGACGGTTAAACAGCACAATAGGGGAGGCATTGCATGCACGTGAGCAGGGTGTGGGCAGGTAGGGCACAACAACCATGCAAAGCGGTGCAATCCACGCAAAATGAACCCCATCACCATGTCACCGGATATGGTTACCACATGGGATAGGGTGGGTAAGGTGAGCATGAGGGCACAGGGGTGAATCCTAGCACGGTGTAACCGGATACGGTTACCAACTGGAATGGAGTGGGTGAAGAGAGCATGAGGGGAGAAAGGCAGTGGTTAGGTGTGAGCAGACACAAAGAGAGCATGGTGGGAGAAAGGGAGAGGAAGGTGAGACATGCAAGCAGGCTACTCTTCAGCAGACTTAAAAGCTATTCCCGCAGAATGAGAACAGAAAGGCAGATCTTCATCCCTTCCCCGAAGTAGTTAGCGTTACCCACTGCGACCCAATCCCCAGCTCACCAACCCCAGCACAACAACCCCCAACCCCAAACGCACATTCAGAGAGCTTGCGCCGGGATTCAGATTCGGACAGATCTTCATCCCTCCCCCGAAGTAGTTAGCGTTACCCACTGCGACCCATGTCACCGAATATGCACGGTTGTGCATATACGGTGCCAGTTTTGCTTCGGTGTAGTTCTAAGTGTAGTAGTACTGTATGTGAAGATTTGGGGTGTAGGTAGTTGGGGACCAGGGAGAGTGTCGCGAAGTTGGTAGGAGAGCTCCGAGGAGTGCAATCCAAGGAACCAATGTGGATGCACCAACCCAGGCTCGAGGCCCACATTGAGAAATGCACGCTTCGAGCCTGGGCCAGGTAAATTCACTCTCACACACACACTCGTTGCTTTCCGCTTGTTATCCTTTCGTATAGTGGAACGTTGTTGCCTTAATCTCGCAGCTAGGTGACACACCACTCAGGGAGGACCCTTGGGGTGGGAGATTCGTCTCTTTCATAACAAGCGGAAAGGGTGCGCGCGTGCAAGGATGGACGGTTTTGAGCTGCGTTATGGCAGGACTTATGGTCGTCGGGAAGAGGATCGCTCGCGGCGCAGATACTCGCGCGAGCGTGGGCGATCAGTGGAGTGGTCGCCGCGGAGGCCTGCCTTTCGTGCGGATCAGGTGCCTCTCTGGCCCGAACGCCGAGAGGGCGGATCTGCTCGAGAAGGAGCAGGCGGTTCGGGATCGGTCATGGCGGGGAGTGATCCGTGGCGGACGGATCCGCGCCACGGAGCAGGTGGCGATCTTGGGTATCGCCAATAGACGGGAGCGTACCGCTCGCCGGAAGCAAGCTATCGTCGTCGCGAAGATCGAAGTTGCGGGCGAGGCTTGGAGGGACTGTTTTCGGGCCGAGAGGGAGACCTCAACGCCAGCGGAGAAGGAGAGGACGACGCGACGGATACCTCGCAGGAGTCTGAGCGCGATGACGTGGCAGAGGCCGGCGACGAAGTCCGGAAGGAGGACGGAGGCGGGCAGGGCGACATGCCCGCGGAAGCAACGGAGGCAGACCCTGCGCCAGGCAAGGCGGAAAGGCAGGCGAAGGGGAGACGGGGGGAACTGGTGGCGCACGAAGCGCGCGAAGGGAGGCGCACGTTTCTGGGCAGCAGGCGTATGGCGGGGAGCAGGGCTGCGACGCGCCGCACTCGCCAGATCCGCGTCAGCAGCATGACGAAAAGCGGGGAAGCGGTCCGCGCGCGCCAGATCTGCACCCGCATCGTGACGAGAGGCGAGGAGGCGGATCGCGTTCGCCTGATCCGCGTCAGCATCGTGACGGAAGGCGGGGAAACGGGTCGCGCTCGCCGGATCCACGTCAGCATCGTGACGGAAGGCGGGGAAGCGAATCGCGTTCGCCTGATCCGCGTCAACATCGTGACGGAAGACGGGGAGGCGGATCGCGCTCGCCGAATCCACGTCAGCATCGGGGCGGGAAGCGGGGAAGCGGGTCGCGCTCGCCGGATCCGTAGAGATATCGCAGCGGGAGGTGGGGAGGCGGGTCGCGCTCGCCAAATTCGTATCAGCCGCATCACGGGGCGCGGGGAAGCGGGCCACGCTCGCCAGATCTGCGCCAGCGCCGTGAGGGAAGGCGTGGAGGCGAGTCGCGTTCGCCAGATTCGTATCGGCAGCATAGCGAGAGGCGGAGAGGCGGGGTGCGCTCACCAGATCCGTATCAGCAACACGAAGGAAGGCATGGAAGCGGGCCACGCTCGCCAGATCTGCGCAAACTTCATGAGGGGAGGAGGGGAGGCGAGTCGAGCTCGTCTGATCGGTACCAAGAACGGGGTATGAGCTGGGGCAGCGGATATCGCTCGCTGGATCCGCGTCCGCAGGGCAACGAGAGGCATGGAGGAGGGCCGCGCTCGCCAGAATGTGATCTGCAGCGAAGACAGGGAGGGAGATGGGAAGAGGAGGGGCGCCAGCGGGACTATCGACGCGGGCAGGAAGGAAGGAGAGATCTACGATCCCCGACACCTGAGCCGCGCTGGCAGCGCCGAGGGCAAGGGAAGAATGGGTGCGTGTGTGTCACTCACCAGATCGGCGAGGAAAGATGGGTGGGGAGGAAAGGCGATGGGAAGCAAGGCAGGATCAGCAGAGAAGCAGGGGTGTGGGCAGCGGTCTGGCAAATAGCATGGAACGCGCCAGAGAAGCAAGAAAGGGAATTGAGCAGGCCAGAGGAGGGGGGACGTCAGGAAGGCAGGAAAAAGGGGCAAGTGAGTCATGGGGCGAGGGGCGTGGAAGTGCAGCGATGGTTGCATGGGTGGAAGTGCTGGCGCGATTCTGTGGAGACCAGCGCGTGGGACCGACGCTGAAGAATTACTTGATGCAACTGGGGAACGTGAGATACAGGTGCGAAAGGAGTGGCATGGATGCAGTGGACTTCTTCCTGAGTCTGCCGAACACACTGGAAGGGGAGGCAGAGACACTATACAGAATGAGGATGGATGAGCTGTTAGAGAGGGCGGGCAGGTACGGGGAAGACCCCACAGAGGCATTTCTGAAGCGGCTGCAGCGGCAGTTTCCTGGCCATACCGCAGAGAAGATAAGAGAATTCCAGGACTTCAGGAAGGGGAGGAGTGTGTCCTTACTCACCTATCACAATCGGCTGATTAACTTGGCAGAGGACTTGACTTGTGAGGACATGGGCCTCCTAGTCAGTAAATTCTTGGATGGGTTGGACAGCTCCATGGGAAATGGGTTGCGCATGAAGGTGTATGAGCTGGGGGCAGACACGACGCTGGATGAGGTCTTCGAGTTGGCAGAGAAGATGGAGCTCGCACAGAAAAAATATGAAGCATACAGGCCCAGGACTACGGAAAGAAGCCGGGGGCTAACCTGGGCAGTAGCGATCATACCTGAAGAGAGGGACAGGGCAGCGGGGCGAGGAGAGGGCAGTCCAGAAACTCGGACATGCCACCGATGCAGACAGCCGGGACACCTTCGCAGGGACTGCAAAAACTGTGACTGTTGCAGGAAGCCAGGGCACCGGCGGCGGGAGTGCCCTGAAGCGCCGAAGTGTGAGGTCTGTGGCAAGGGAGGACACGTGGCAAAGGACTGCTACTAGAAGGATGGACCGGCGAAGAAGAAGCTGGAGGAACAGGAGAAGCAGATTAGTCGGCTGCAGGCTCAGTTACAGGCATTAGGACCGCGACGAGAAGCTGAAGCGGGAATGTATGCCAGGGACGAGGAGGAAGAGGATGTAGAACAAGAGGAGCGAGCTGCACTAATGGCTTGGGGAGGAAGGGAAGATGACAGAGAAGAGGAAGAAGAGGACGTGGAACGGGAGGGGCAACCAGCTTTCATGGCGTGGAGGGGAAGAGAAGAGATGGGGCTGCGAAGCAGAGGGAAGGATACTAGAAGAGAACATGTGAAGAAGGAACGGGAAAAGGGGCAGAAGCCAGAGGAGAAGGAGGAGAAGTGTACAGCTGCACGTCACCCACAGGAGAGATTGGCATGTCAGACCTCAGTCCTGCTGATACAGAATGGAGCACTGACCGTGGAAGGGGAGAAGGCAAGAACTGCCATTATAGACACAGGGGCACAGAGCGTCATACTTGGGAAAAGGATGGCTGAGAAACTGGGTTTGGGGGCGCCGGACAGACACGTAGTGAAGGGGATGTTGGTGATGACAGGAGAGGGGGGAGAATCAAAGTGGATGCCGTGCACCAGGACTCCAATAGAGCTGACGGTGCTGCAAGGAGAAAAACACGAGACACAAGTCAGAATCAGGTGCGGGATTTCGGAGTCAGAGGATTTCGACGTGTTGGTGGGCACGGAGATGATATTCGCATTAGGCATGACGATATGCTTTTGGAAGGAGAGTGTGGAATTCAGAACCAGGTGGTGGAGGAAGGGGGAGCCGCTAGGCCAGCTGCCGGTGCAATTCGTGAAGACAGAGCCGAAGAGGGCCTACCGCGCGGATCAGAAGGAAATAACAGCGAAGCAGGGGGCACAAGAGAGTGCAGATGGCAAGGGAGAAGAAGTGGACCAGAGGATGAGCTTCATGGACAAGCCGCGCCAACAGACAGACTGGCAGCAGCCCATCCGACTAGTGGAGCTGTTTGGGGGAATAGGGGCAGGGTTGGCAGCAGTGGTAAGGAACGGCATAGCTGTGAAGCAGTGGATATACGTGGAGCAGGCACCAGAGGTGAGGAAAATGGCAGAACATCATGCCTGGAAGCTGCAGGAGGAATTTCCAGAGCTGCTGAAAGCGGAAGTGATCAGGGCGGCAATGAGCAGAGGCGCACATGACGTAAGGGCAATAACTGAAGCCGAAGTAGCAAGCTGGGGGCATGTGGACCTGTTAGTGGCAGGGTGGAAGTGTCAAGGTGTGTCATGGGCGGGGAAGGGGAGGGGTGACCAGGACCCCAGGACCAAACTGATGGAAGACTTGTTCAGGATCATGGAATGGCTACACGATAGGCAGGGCCGGCTGGCATACCTGCTGGAACACCTGGATATGGAAGGAGATGTTCAGGAACCTGTGAGGAGGGTGAGAGAGAGGGTGAAGAGACAAGTGGGCAAAGGAGTTAGCAGCGACGCGGTGCGGATGGGAGCATTTGCCCACCGACTCAAAACGTACTGGCAGAATGTTGTGCCAGCGGAAGAACTGCAGAAAGAGATAGAGGGAGTGGAGAGGGCAGGAGGACGGAAGGTGAGCGACATACTGGAATCGGGAAGGACTCCGGCACCAGTCAGCAAGAGAAGCTACAGCAAGCATTATCCATGCAATCAGGTGGGACAGGAGAGGCAGGCCCTGCCCACTCTGGTGTCGTATGAAGGGGCGGCAGGATACCGGATGGAGGGAGAGACGCCGGGGCCAGGGCTGGTGTATGACCATAAGAAGGGACAGTGGGAGGAACCTACGGCCTTGGAGCGAGAACTAGCCATGGGATACGGGGAGAACATCACAGCAGCGCCTGGGGTAAGTGAGCAGGAGAGGAGGAGGGCAATGGGGAACGCCATGGATGGCTACATGATGCGGTGGATGGTGCAGCGGATGTGGAGGGAGACAGTGCTCCACTGGGGATGGAAGGAAGGAGAGGCAGGTGCAGCGACAGTGAGGCAAGGGGTTTGGGTCTGCCAGGAAGGGGAAAAGCCAGAGTGGAAGATAGGAGAAAACCTGAGTGAGGAAGGGAAGGAAGCAATGCGGGCACTGCTGGCCAAACACCGGAAGTGCTTCGCCTTCTCACTGCAGGAGTTGGGGAAGTGTACAGTCAAGGAAATGGCGCTGAAGCTGAGCAGTGATGAGCCGGTGTTCCACAGGAGAAGGAAGATGACACCGGCAGACGAGGAGATCTGCAGAGAGAAGATAAAGGAGTTGCTAGAGGCAGGCCTGATCAGGAGGTCCGAGTCAGAGTACGCCACTCCAACGGTGGTAGCAGCGAAGGACTTGTCGGAGTTCTTCCCTTCTCCTTTCTCACTCCTCCCTTGCCCCTGCCTCTTCCCTGCCTTCTGTCCTCACCTTCTTCCCTTCCTTCTTGTTCTAGCCTTTCCCCACCTTGTGCTGTCCCCACTCCTGTTACCCTGTTCCCTTCTGCGTTCCCTTCTGAGAAGTTTACTCTCCCACACGATGGCTGCCCACAGTGGTGTAGTCACCTAGCTAGCATAGCCTTGTTGCGGTAACGTTATCCACTATATGAGGCAAACAAGACGAGAGAACAGGTTTGCTATGCTAGACTAGGCTATTTGTGCTTGGCTGCCCAGTCGCGAGTAACTCAGCGTGCTGGGTTGAGCTCGAACCGCCTAGGCCTTGGAGTGGCCCTCGCCAGATTGCCTGTCTCCCGAGGTTCCTGAAATTGTCCCCAAAGCGCCCTGTAACCCCCAATGCTACCAACTTCTCGCTACTCTCTATAACCCAACTACCCCACATGTAGATTGAATAACACTCGCTACACCACTTCTACACCCAATTAGCATATGTCTCCAATATGATGCTCTTACCATTATATTTGGTGACAGACTTGACTGGAGAGGTGCTGAGCTGGCGGATGTGTGGGGATTACAGGGCGCTCAACAAAATTACAGTGCCGGACAGGTACCCCATACCTATGGCCGAGGAAATCTTCGACAAATTAGCAGACGGGGTGTTCTTCACGACGTTAGACCTGCGACAGGGCTTCAATCAAATCAAGATCAGGGAAGAGGACGTGAGGAAAACAGCTTTTCACGGGCCGGATGGGCTGTACGAGTGGCTGTACATGCCTTTTGGCTTGAGGAATGCTTCAGCTGTGTTCCAGAGAGTCATGGATGCCGTGCTAAGGGGAGTGGAGTGTGCGGAGTGTTACATCGATGATGTGGTCATCTTCAGCGTGACCAAATAGCAGCACCTCAAGGACGTGGAGAGGACACTGAGCGCGATAGAAGGGGCAGGACTCACCTGCCACCCGAAGAAGTGCCGCTGGGGGGAGCAGACTGTGCAGTACCTGGGGTATGAGGTGCAGGGAGGACAGATAGGGATACAACAAGCAAAGGTGCAGGTGCTGGACAAGCTGAGGGAGCCGCGCGACAAGTCAGGACTACGGGCAGTCTTAGGCTTCCTGAGCTACTACAGACGCTTCGTGCCCAATTTCAGCAAAAGGGCGACAGTATTGAACGGAATGCTGCGGGAGGATAAGGCGTGGGAGTGGGGAGCAGAGCAGAAGACAACATTGCAGGACTTGATGACTGCAGTGAAGACCGCAACAGTGCTGCAGCTGCCAGCGCCAGACAGACCCTTCACCCTCTACACCGATTGGAGCAGTCAAGGGATGGGGGCAGTCCTCTGTCAGGAGGTGGAGGGGACCGAGAAGGTGGTAGCTTATGCTAGCCGGAGCTGCAATGCGGCAGAGGCTCAGTACAGTTCATACATCGGCGAAGGGCTGGCAGCAGTGTGGGCGGTGGGGCACTTTAGGGTGTACTTACAGGGCAGAGAGTTCACCCTGGTCACTGACCATCAGCCGCTTACATGGCTGATGACCACACCAGGGCTGATGGGCAGGAACGCGAGGTGGGCAGTAAAGCTGCAGGAGCATGACTTCAAGATCCGACACCGACCAGGAAAGACGCTGCAGCACGTCGACTGCCTTTCCCGCAACCCGCCACCACTGGAGCCTGAACAGACAGAGCAGGAGAAAGGGAGGACTGAGCTGGAACCCGCGCAGACACTGATCCTGCTGGCCAGAGAGGTGGAGTTGAACGGCGCTAAGGGGAGCAAGGGGCCAGCTGACATATGGCAAGATGAGAAGGCAATGGAATGGGTGAAGGGAGAGACCGAGGAGGACGAGAACGTGTCTGAGAGGATGAGGGCGCGAGGACACCACTACAGGTGGTATCAACAACAGCTGCAGATGAAGACCGAAGATGGATGGAAGCTGGTGCCAGCGCCGCAGGAGCGAGAAGCAGTGATCAGAGAAGTGCACACTAAGCTGGGACATTTCGGCCATGAGAGGACTGTACATCTGCTGAAGACAGGCTGGTGGTGGGAAGGGATGCGCAGGCAGGTGAAGGAGTGGGTAGAGGGGTGTGAGGCGTGCCAGAGGAGCAAGGCCAACCTGACGCAGGCCAAGGCAGAGCTGCAGTCACTACCCATCTGTGGCTTGGGATTTCGATGGTCCCTGGACCTGGCGGGAGAGCTGCCGTTAAGCAGGAGCGGGAACCAGTACATAGTGCTCATGGTTGAGTATGTGAGTAAGTGGCTGGAGGTGCGAGCGATCCCTAGCAAGAGCGGAAGGCACATTGCAGCAGCTTTCAAGGCGCAGGTAGTGTGTCGCTTTGGAGCATGCGGGGAGGTTCTTACAGATCAGGGAACCGAGTTCCAGGGGGAGTTCAAGAAGTTGCTGTTGGAATCCGGCATCACTCACCGACGCACCTCTCGCTACCACCCGCAAAGTGACAGGCTGAGTGAGTGCATAGTACAGACTATCAAGCAAGGGCTGCGTACCTAGGCATGATCATCCTGCCCCGGCGGGTCGGGCCGACCCGACCCGACCCGGGTTTTGACCCGGGTCGGGTCAGGCATTTTGAAGCGTTGACCCGGGCGGGTCGGGTCGGGTTTACCCGGCCGGGTCGGGCCGACCCGACACCCGAAACCGGGTCGGTTCGGGTCGGGTCAGTTTTTGACCCGAAATTTGACCCGACTCGAAATCGGGTACCGCGCCCTAAGTCGGGTCGGGCATTTGGCCCGACCCGAGTTTCCCTCCCACGACAATTCGAACTAAAGCAGATCGCGAAGTCAATGTCTAGGGTTTTTTTGTTCCCTCGACATTGACTTCGATCTGCTATACCTAGGCAGCTAGCAGTAGCTCGTTCTCAAGCTCTAGAACTCTCTAATCCAACGCCCATGTTTAGGAACCCTATTTCAAGTGTTTCAATGTTGGCGGAATGGACTCTCACACGCGACTAAACTCTGGCCCCGCGTTCAAATCGCCCACTGCGCGCCTACCACGCCCGCATCTTTAGGGACGCGACCCCCAATTGTCTAGGCCTGCGCCATTACAAAAACGTCGCGACTCCAAGGTCCGAAACGTAATCGACGCCGCTTGCACGCGAATGGAGGGGGAAGAAGACAGCTCACGTGCTATTCCTGGGGCTTCGCTTGGAGGCCTCCCGACACCGGCCTCCAGGGCCAGTTTTCGCTTGGGGAGAGTCTTCAATGGGCAGGAAATTGGGTGGGACGATGCAATCGCGACGAGGAGGCGTGAAGAGGTACGGGAATGGGAGTCTCAAGGACTTGGCCCAGTGATGGAGGAGCAAGGAACACGAGGAAAGGAGAAGGACCCGGATTGGAGGCCGGCTCCGGGGGAGGCGGCCGGCACGAGTGGAGGATCGGGTGATGAGGGTTGGGGAGGGAGAGGAGGGGGCCAGGCTGGTGGCAGTGGCGCGCGTGGCAGCGGTGCAGCAGCAAAGAGGCCACGCACGAGTGGGCCTGTGGGGTCGGGAGCTGGAGGGGCCGGGCCGGCGTCGAATTCGCAGCCGCAGGGGGCAGCCGCGGGTGGTTCTGAGGGGTCGGGTGCAGCAGGGGCATGTACCTCCGCCGCTGCGGCAGGTGGTGCACCTTTGGGTGGGTCTGTGGGGGCTGGAGCAAGCCAGAGGTCCGACAGGGCGGGCAGGACCCCTACCGACGAAGAGCTGGACCCATGGACTGAGAAGGTGCTTAGGAATGCAGAACCCGGGCTGGTTCGTGGCATGTTCAGTGAGAAGGATGTGAAAGAGGCTAGGAATTGCAAGATTTGCAAGAAGAAGATTAGCTGGAAAGGTAGTTGCACGAGCACGGGGAAGAGACACCTCAAGAGGAGCCACTACCCTAGTCTGCAGATCTGGTGTCGGCGTTTCAAGGATCCAAACAAGCTAGACAACCTGACGTTTCCCGATGGGGGATGGGGTCCGGATGTCCCCGACCAGACAGCGTGGCCTTGGGAGCATGCAGCCACGCGGCCCAGGATTGTACAGACACCAGACAGCGCAGTGACTGGCGGATCTGAGGGTGGTGGGAGTACGCAGATGAGCATGGCCGCATTCGTCACGCCACGTGTTCATGGCCAGCAGCTGCGCGAGGGATTGGTGCAGCTATTTGCGGCAGCTGACCTTCCGTTTCGACTTGTTGAGTGTCGTGAGGTGAGTGACGCCGTTCTCTTGCCGTTGGTCATGTTCATCTTCGTATTGAGGTGGTCATATTAGTGCAGGGCAGCCGCATTGCATTCTGTTGGCTAATCCCAAAGCATCTTCATAATCCTTTTACCGACATCCTTTGACTCCTGCGTTACAGTTCAAAGCATTTGTCCAGATGCTGAACCCGGGAGCTGCGCTACTGCTCGGCTCACGCCATCGCTTGGCACGGGACATGCAGGCATACGGGGAGGCTGCTAGGGAGGACATGCGGCAGCTACTGGTGGGTGATGGCCTGGCGGGAAGGATGTCCCTCACCTTTGACATCTGGACTGGTGAGAACAACGTGGCCTTCATGGGGGTGACTGCCCACTATGTCACCAGCGATTTCCAGCTGAAACAGGCTGGTATAGACTTCAGGGAGCTTAAGGGCTCTCATACGGGGGACTTGATAGCCGATGAGCTGGAGGAGGTGTTGAGGGAGTGGGGCTTGGAGAAGATGTTGTTCGCCGTGACGTGTGACAACGCCGAGAACAACAGCAGGGCGATGCGTCTGCTGGCCGGTGTACTTGACGCCAGGCCGGGCTCACGGCCCAGGCACCCACCACTGCTCAGTCGCTGGAGGTACTTCAGGTACTATGGGGCTGTCTCCGTAAGGGTATGCTATAAACTGTTGGCGTAGTCCACCATGTTTGTTATGGCAGTGCTTATGTGGTACACTGACATTAAACCCACTCTGCACAATGCATTGCCCCAACAGGTGCATGGCGCACGTCGTCAACCTTGCAGTGCAAGCTGCACTGAAGGTTGACGAGGTGGCCGAGCCACTCAAGAGGCTGCGAGACGTGGCGAACTACATCGGCTGGTCCACACTGCGAACAGATCGTTTCTTCGAGCTCCAGAAGGGATACGCGGCGACCCGGCCCCAGGGTCCTCTGGGTTCTCGGCGACCATCGCGTCCGTTGCGTTTGATCGTGGACTGCCTGACGAGATGGGGTTCTACACTCCACATGGTGAACAGGGGCTTCGAGCTGCGCATGCCCATTGCCATGTTTTTCGACGATTCATATGTACGTATGGTAGGATTCACATTCGCTTGTGACTATGGCGAATGGGGGTACGTGGGCATGGCTTGAATAGTGCCACCATCCCATGCATGTGCCACCATCCCATGCATGTGCCACCATCACATGCATGTGCCACCATCCCATGCATGTCCCATCATCCCATGCATGTGCCACCATCACATGCATGTGCCACCATCCCATGCATGTCCCATCATCCCATGCATGTGCCACCATCACATGCATGTGCCACCATCCCATGCATGTCCCATCATCCCATGCATGTGCCACCATCACATGCATGTGCCACCATCCCATGCATGTCCCATCATCCCAGGCATGTCCCATCATCCCAGGCATGTCCCATCATCCCATGCATGTGCCACCATCCCATGCATGTGCCATCATCCCATGCATGTCCCATCATCCCATGCATGTGCCACCATCCCATGCATGTGCCACCATCCCATGCTAGTCCCACCATCCCATGCATGTGCCACCATCCCATGCATGTGCCACCATCCCATGCATGTGCCACCATCCCATGCATGTGCCACCATCCCATGCATGTGCCACCATCCCATGCTGTGCCTCCATCTTTACAACCCATGTGACCCATACCAGTCATCCATCAGCAAGGAGACTAAGAAGGCGTGGGACGCCATCAGGTTGACGGATGCGCACTGGGACGACCTCGCCGAGCTCCGAGACTTCCTCACCCCATTCGAGCAAGTCACCCTCTTCGCCGAGGGTTCCCTGTACCCTACCCTCTCAGCCGTTGTACCGCAGTACAACGCGCTGATTGATCTGCAGGAGAAGACACAGCTCACTCCTGGCATCTCCCCTCTGCGCTCATCGCTGATCACTGCTGCTCTGAGCAAGCTGGAGTGACACATGGGGGGTGTGAGCGAGGAGGCAGCGATAGCCACTTTCTTGGACCCGCGCCAGAAGCTCGCACCCTTCAAGCACCGAGCCAGGGCAGCAGAGGGGAATTCGAGAGGGGCGACACTGGAGCTAGGACCTGATAGGGTGAAGGCCCTGGTACGGGCGCGCCTTCCAGAGTACCAGGCAGCCAGCACCACGGCGCTGGGAGATGGTGGGGAGGTAACTAGTGCGAGGGGTGCAGGGGTGCATGCGTCGGCAGGGGGTGGGGCTGTGAATGCATCGGCAAATGTCAGCATCCAGTCTCAGTTGTTCGCTGCGTGGGACGCCATGGAGGCCGAAGAGGGGGAGGATCCACAGGATGAGGTGGATCAGTACCTCGCAGAGGGGAGGCAGAGGGGTGGAAGCGCATTGGAGTATTGGCGCAGCAGGGAGACACTGAAGGGCTTGAGGGCGATGGCTAGAGATTATCTGGGGGTACCGGCTTCGTCAGCAGCGAGTGAGCGCGCATTCTCACAGAGCAGGAACATCATTACTTGGCAGCGACACCGACTGGCAGCTGGCCAAGTGCGTGCTTCCATGCTGATTAAGACGTGACATGACCACCACCCTTCGGGGACTCTCGCTCCCAAGGGCACCTCAACGGCCAATCCCACCCTGGGAGTGGAGGATGAATCGAGGGGGTTGTGATATTTGTTCGTAATTGATGCTCATGCCCTTAACTTCATCAGATAACGTGATCGGACCAAAACTTGATTGGTTCTTATTCCTGTGCGTCGAACTACTAGTTGACTCCGTTAGCTTTTAGGCCTTTGTAGGATTTTTCCAAACACGTGTAACAGTTTACGCAACTTTGAAAAGTTAATTTACAGAAGGGAGGACGTTCATATAATAATATATTACACAAACATTCAATCTTTGCAACACTGGACAGTAGTGAGGAAACCCCTACACATTGCATATGGGGTTCTGGCCCGACCCGACCCGACCCGGCCCCTACCCGACCCGACCCGGGGGCGGGTCAAGCCTGACCCAGCACCCGATACCCGGGTCGGGCCAGGATTCCTAGAAGTGCCGACCCGACCCGACCCGACCCGGAACCCGGCTGGCCCGCCCAAGTCGGGTCGGGTCGGGTCGGGTCGGGCCTAATGATCATGCCTATGCGTACCTATGGGGAGCAAAGAAAGAGGGATTGGGATGATGAGCTGGACTGGATAGCGGCTGGGTACAGATTCGGGAAGCAGGCAGCACTGCGCGATCATTCACCCTACAGTCTGCTATACGGACGAGAGCCGATCCTGCCAGTAGGGGCACCACGGGTTCTGACAGACACAGTGACAGCACGCACAATCAAGAACTGGGTGGCCCTGTCTGATGTCCGGGCACGCTACATGCGCTTCATGATGCCGGCCGCGCTGGAGAACCTGCACACCGCGCAGCTGCGAGATGCCAGGAGATATGAGCAGAGGCAGCGCAAGGGAGAGGGAAAAGTGCAGAGGGGCGTATGTGAAGGACAGGAAGTCAATCTGAAGAGAGCGAAGCAGGGCACCCTGGATGTGGGATTGGGGACAGTGCGTTGGAGAGTCAAGGAGGTGCGCCCTTCAGGAGTGCTGGTACTGGAAAATGAGAAAGGGGCGCAGCTGAAGGAACACCAGACGAACACTGCTGTGATAAGGGGAACCGAGCCTCAGCGTACTGGTCCTGTGACCCGCGCTCAAGCTGCTCAAGCACGGGCACAGGAGGGGGCAGGGAGTGGCTGAGGCAGCACTAGAAGCCAAAGCGAGGAAGAGCATCATATTGCAGGACAAATGACAGGCAGAGCTGTTTCACAAATGGCAGGCAGACTGTTTCTCCGACACCCAACCCCCAGCTCACCAACCCCAGCACACCAACCCCCAACCCCAAACGCACATTCAGAGAGCGACCCAACCCCCAGCTCACCAACCCCCCCCCCCCCCCCCCCCCCCCCCACCCTAAACGCACATCCAGGGATCCCGAGCTGGGATTAGCGCGTGGGCAAATCTTCATCCCTCCCCATAAGTAGCTAGCGGTGCCCACCTTGACCGCCATCTATCCCAGCGCCCCCCAGCCCTAAACGCACATCCAGGGATCCCGAGCTGGGATTTGCATGCGGGCAGATCTTCATGCCTCCCCCATAGTAGTTAGCGTTGCCCACCGCAATGGTGGTGACGGCTGGGAGGGTTTCCCAGGGGCCGCTGTCTCTCTGTGAACACGGAGAGGAAATAGGGGGGGGGTGCGTTTGGCGAGGGGAGAAGAACGATACAGATCTTTATTTTTCATGCCGCCTCCATAGTAGTTGGCGTTGCCCAGCGCGATCGTGGTGACTGCCGAGAGGGTCTCCCAGGGGCCGTTGTCTCTCTGCGGGCATGGAGAAGAGGGGGGGGGGTGTAGTTGGGGTGGGAAGGGGATCGGTGAAGGGGAAATGAATTATCCCTCCCCCATAGTAGTTAGCGTTGCCCACCGCGATTGTGGTGACTGCTGGGAGGGTCTCCCAGGGGCCGTTGTCCCTCTGAGGAATGTGCAAGGAGGAAGGAAGGGAAGGAAGAAAGGAGGGCAGAGGCGAGAAGGATGTTGAGGTTGGGGGGGCTGCCTAGAGCAACTGCGGTGGGGGCTGGATGGGTCCTGAGAGCACCTCTTCAGGAGCAAAGAGCCAAGGGAGGTGCTCTCTGAGATGACACAGAGCCAGAGGCCAAGGGACAATTGAGTCGACTCTAAAATCAAGTCGTCAGGAGCAAAGGGCCAAGGGAGATGTTCTCTAGAGATGACACAGAGCCAGAGGCCAAGGGACAATTGAGTCAACTCTAAAATCAAGTCATCAGGAGCAAAGGGCCAAGGGAGATGTTATCTAGAGATGACACAGAGCAAGAGGCCAAGGGACAATTGAGTCGACTCTAAAATTAAGTCGTCAAGAGCAAAGGGCCAAGGGAGATGTTCTCTAGAGATGACCCAGAGCCAGAGGCCAAGGGACAATTGAGTCGACTCTAAAATCAAGTCGTCAGGAGCAAAGGGCCAAGGGAGATGTTCTCTAGAGATGACCCAGAGCCAGAGGCCAAGGGACAATCGAGTCTGTCAAAAGAAGAAGTGTGTAAACTATGAAAAGGTGGAGTACAAGTAGCAAACCCTAGTTTTTGTGTATCCCCTAAAGGCTAACCCACTATAGCCTACACAACAACAACACATACAGTGTTTGACACACCCCCATAGGCAAAGTGGGGGAGAGCAAGGGGTCACAAGACCAGTCAGGAAAGGCAAGCAAGCTCAGGGTGGATCACGACGTCACCACACATTCCGAGCACAAGCAAAGAGCCATACGGCCAGTTCACATGCAGAAGTATATAAGTACTACAAACAACAAGAGTGATCTCTGTCTAGAAGAGCAAACAGTCAGGAGTATATATAGAGATCACAGTACAGGCAAAGCCTACAATAAGTGGGGAAAAGTGGGCACCAGCCCCAGCAAAGTACAGAAGCGCTGATGATCACCAGGCTGAAGTGCCTTGGTGAATATATCAGCGGTGTTGGCCTGAGAGGCCACGTAACGCAGACGAAGCTGACCACGCTGCTGCAGCTCTCGAGCAAGGAAGTAACACAGAGCGATGTGATTCGTTCTGTGCTCCAGTCTGTGCTCAATGGCAGCTTTGTTGTCAACGTACAGCACTGGAGGAGAACTAGGCCTCTCTCCAAGGTCGGTCAGCAGGTAGGTAAGCCAGCGTAACTCCTGTGTAGCCATGGCCCCAGCGTAGATCTCAGCCTCACAACTGGAGCTGAGAACTAAAGACGAACGTGTAGAGCGCCACGAAACTGAACTAGAACCAAGGCTGAAGGTGTAACCATGTGACGACCGCTGAGTAGCCTGGTCGTCAACCCAAGAAGCGTCTGAGTGTCCAGTGAGAACAACTGAGCTCCCTCCTCCAAGCACGAGCCCCATACCCGATGTACTACACAAGTAGAGCAACACCCTCTTTGCAGCATCCATGTGCACCTTTCGGTGCCTGTCAGGAGCTACGTAGCAGGCCAGAAGGCCAAGAGGGTATGCTAGTTCAGGACGAGTGCAAGTCATCAGGTACATGAGGCAACCAACTAGCTCTAGGTAAAGACCACTCGACTCTACGGACTCATCCGAAGGTAGAGCTAAGAGCGAGTGACCTACAGCCAGAAGAGTGGCCTGTGCTGAGGACCAGGTGAAGCCGAAGCGCTGAAGGACGTGCTGCACCATGTGTCACTGAGTCAGGGTAATCGTGCGGCGTGCTCTGTCCCGGGTGATCTGCAAGCCAATGTAGCTGCGCAGTTCACCCAGCTCTGTGCACGTGTGTCTCTTCTACAGCTCCGACTTCACGTAGGCGAGAGCCTCAGTGTCAGCAGTGGCGAAAACCAAGTCGTCGACGTACACGAGAATGTAGAACGGTGGCAGCAAAGTGTTGGTGCGTCGAAACAACGACGGGTCAGTAGTAGAAGGAGCGAACCCAAGTGCCGCAAGTGTAGTCCTCAGTGTGTCGTGCCACTCACGTGGTGCTTGGCGGAGACCGTAGACTGGCCGCCGGAGGCTCCACTGGGTACCAGGAGGAAACGACC